TTGTATTTCTTGTTCAGGTTGACAAGTGTAGAACTTGAACCCTACTCATCCCCAACCTGAACCCCACTCACCCCTAACCTGAACCCTACTCATCCCTAACCTGAACCCTACTCATCCCTAACCTGAACCCCACTCTTCCCATACCTAAGCCCTACTCATCCCTAACCTGAACCCTATTCATCCCTAACCAGAACCCTACTCATCCCTAACCTGAACCCCACTCATCCCTAACCTGAACCCAACTCATCCATAACCTGAACCCTACTCATCCCTAACCTGAACCCTACTCATCCCTAACCTGAACCCTACTCTTCCCTAACCTGAACCCCACTCGTCCCTAACCTGAACCCTACTCATCCCTAACCTGAATCCTACTCATCCCAAACCAGAACCCTACTCATCCCTAACCTGAACACCACTTGTCCCTAACCTGAACCCTACTCATCCCTAACGTGAAACCTACTCATCCCTAACCTGAACCATACTCATCCCTAACCTGAACCATACTCATCCCTAACCTGAACCCTACTCGTCCGTAACATTAACCCTACTCATCCCTAACCTGAACCCTACTCATCCCTAACCTGAACCCTACTCTTCTCAAACCTGAACCCAATTCTTCTATAACCTGAACCATACTCTTCTCTATCCTTAACCCTACTCATTTTTAACCTAAAACCTTCCCATCGATAACTTGAACCCTTCTCATCTCTAACCTGCACTCTACTTTTCTCTAACTGGAACCCTACTTATCTCTAACCTGAACCCTATTCTTCTCTAACCTGAACCCAATTCTTCTCTAACCTGAACCCTACTCTTCTCAAACCTGAACCCTACTCTTCTCTAACCTGAACCCTAGTCTTCCATAACCTGAACCCTACTCTTCCCTAACCTGAACCCTACTCTTCCCTAACCTAAACCCTACTCAACTCTAACCTGAACCCTACTCATCCCCAACCAGAACCATATTCATTTCTAGGATGAATCCTACTCATCTCTAACATGAACCCTACTCATTCCTAACCTGAACCCTCCTCATCTCTAACCTGAACCCTACTCATCCCTAACCTGAACCCTCCTCATCTCTACCCTAAACCCTACTCATTCCTAACCTGAACCCTACTATTTCCTAACTTTAACCCTACTCTTCTCTAACCAGAATCATTATCTTTTCAAAACTTAACCCTACTTATCCCTAACCTGAACCCTACTCTTCCCTAACCTAAACCCCACTCTTCCTTGACCTGAACCCTCCTCATCCCTANCTAACTTTAACCCTACTCTTCTCTAACCAGAATCATTATCTTTTCAAAACTTAACCCTACTTATCCCTAACCTGAACCCTACTCTTCCCTAACCTAAACCCCACTCTTCCTTGACCTAAACCCTACTCATCCCTAACCAAAACCATACCCTTCTCTAACCTGAACCCTACTCATCTCTAATCTGAACCCTGCTTATCCCTCACCTGAACCCTACTCCTCTCTAACCTGAACCCTCCTCATCTCTAACCTTAACCCTTCTCATCCCTAACCTTAACCCTACTCTTCTCTAACCTGAATCATACTCTTCCTAAACCTAAACCCTACTCATCCCTAACCTGAACCCTACTCTTTTCTAACCTGAACCCTACTCTTTTCTAACCTGAACCCACTCTTTTCTTACATGAACCCTACTCTTTCCTAACCTGAATCATACTCTTCTCTAACCTGAACCCTACTCTTTTCTAACCTGAACCCTACTCTTTTCTTACATGAACTCTACTCTTTCCTAACCTGAATCATACTCTTCTCTAACCTGAACCCTACTTATCCATAACCTGAGATTGAAATAATTTTTTTGTTTTGGGACAGAAAACTTATTTTTTTGTGTTCAGCAATAATCCAAATTATATATTTTCCTCATACTTTTTCTGCTTAATAATACTTCCATGTCTAATTCTTATATTGCTCCGAAATAGGGGGAAAATGATATAATTTTTTTTTCTTCAAAATTTTCGCAAAGTATGTTTGGATGCTATTATTATTTTTCAAATAGACCAGATATTATTTGTTAAATTCAATTTTGTTAAGACTATATCATGTCTTCCAGCTAAGGCATTTCGATGTCCCTGTCCACAGTAATGTAATCAATACAACAACGAATATAGAAAACTAAGTTGGAACATTAATTGACAATGGCATTTTTTGTCCAATGTTTTTCTAAGTAATTGGGTTTAAGAAAAGAAACCAACCGCTGCTTAAAATTAGGATGCACTGAAAGCTTAAAATGTTAAATAATCAGTGTTATGCAGATTTTAAAAAAACCCCTTGCATTAGATGTCGAATTTTAGACTCACTGGGTTTTAAACAGGTGACCACAAAAGTGAAAAATCAGAAGTCACCAGTAATTTTTTTACTTAAACCTTTGCGATATCTTCGACTATTGATCAGAGGCGCAACTAGCACTTTTGCAAGGGGGGGGGGGGCTTGCCCCCTTATTTAGAATTTTTTTTAAGGGTTTGGTGTCGAAAAAAGAAAATTTTTCGTTGTTGCATGCAGATTTGGCTGTGTTCAAATCTTTTTTTTCTAGTGTTTTTTAAAAATTTATACTTTCATTCAACAACTGTAAAATTAACGATATGAGTCAATCAATTCTTTTTTATGTGTGCGCGGAGCGCCAAAGAAAGTTTTTTAAGTACCTTGCTTAATTACAGATAAAATTCCAAGAAATAATTATTAATATATTCTGAAAAAAAACATCAAAATACATATATAATTTTAATCATCTAAATTGAAAAAGAACAGATAATGTTACGTTTTCTTCTGAAGAATCTTAGGCAGCGAATCTTGTCAACCCTCTTCTCAGTAGGCAGTTGCCATTTTATGTTGCGCGCACATGCCCCGTAAATTTCCAAAACAGAGAGAGGGGGATTGAACTTTGTAGATCCAGAAATTAGCATTTATTTAGGGTTAGGTTAGGTAAAGACACTTTCTGGGCCGAGCGCTGCGGCTAGGGGCCGAGCGCTGCGGTCACGCATTAGGTTAAGTTGTGACACTTTCTGGACCGAGCGCTGCGGCTAGGACAGGCTAAGGGGCCGAGCGCTGAGGCCACATGTCTTACATTTAGGACCTCACCAGCTGCCAGTCAGAGACGCTGGCATCCACAGATATTATTTTTCTGGATCTACAAAATTCAATCCCTCTCTATTTGTTTTGGAATTTTACGGGGCATGCGCGCGCAACATAAAATGGCAAATGCCTTCTCAGTATGAATGCAGCGTGGATGGATAAATTACAACCCCTGGTAGATCAATGTAAAAACCCAGAAAACACCAAACTTTCGTAATAGAAAAAATTCCGAGATTTGATCGTAACAACCCGATCATGTCCTGGGGACAAAAAAAAGATTTTATATAAGTTCTTTTAAACAGGTTACAGTTATAAAATATGATAATCAGTTAGAAGTTTGCCTGGTTCAGTCTCAGAATGTTCTCTAGATTTGGAAGTGAGTTTTTGCCACAAACTCAAATATTCTAATCCCTAAATCTTTGTACTGAGTGGTGTAAACCATTGATATTTCAAGCTTAGAATATTTTACCATATAATTCAAAGTTTGAATACAGTTCGGAACTCTTTACATTCAATGTTTCCAATAGCCTTTAGCCTTTAGAATTCAGAAAGACAAATTTTTTTTAACTAACCATAGAAGAATACAATTTCAACAATAAGTCTTTTGGTATTATTATTCCTGACATTCGCCAATCTTTCTTTTCATTCTGCAGGAGGGGTGCGCGCCCGGCCGCCCCCTAGTTGCGCCTTTGCTATTGATGGAAAAAGCTTAGTTGTTAAGTTTAAAATTTTTTTTAATGAAGTATACAAAACGTTACTGTTCCTTATTGCCAATCATTTAAGACATACATATACAACTTAAGATGTATAATTGCAATATTTAGTTTGTGTAGCAAAAAATAAATTATGTATCAACATTTCAAAACCGTTTTTGACTTAAGTTTGCATTCAGCTAAGCCTATAACGTATATAAAATTGTATCATAAGAATATGTAAAGGTAAAAAACTAACCGATAAAATCTCTGCGTCTTCTCAGGGTCAAAAAATTGGCATAGTCAGGAACGAAAATGTTTAGGAAAATCGATTTTGAAATTTGTAAAAATTTTCCTTTTTTAACTAAAAGTCTTTTCTGTTCAAGATTTGAATGAACCAGCATATTTAGTTATTACCCATTAATAGAAATGAGTATGAGAAGATGAATGTCCATTTGTTTAGATCGTTTAATGAACATATTTAAGATTCTAAAGTTTAAATTCCCGTTTTTTTAATAATCCGATTTTTAGAAGCTATCTCTCTTGGAATGAATAAGGCAACGAAAACACAATGCATAAATGTCCGGAAACTGTACTCTTAAAGGGACTGTTAGTGTTATTTCCAGTGATCATCCATGCACAGATAGCAATGCCCGATTCACAACGGTACCCTTGAAACCTATATCTAATAAAAAATGTGTAAGATACCGTCGTTCTCCTGACTTGTCAAGTGTTTATTTCTTATATATTCACTAATTTTTATAAGCAAGAATTGCGCATGTTACTTTCTAAGAGAAAACAAAAATTAAAATAACCAGAAAAACCTGCACATTTGAATTCGGCCTCAGTTTAAAGAAACACAACCATGGATATCTAATTCACACTTAATCAAAAAACTCTTATAAGGGTACCGTTGTAAATCGGGCATTGCCATCTTAATACGGAGATGGTCACTTGAAATTATAATTAAAGTCCCATCAGCAAGATTAGAACAAACTGTCATTATCAAAATAGTTTACTACTAGAACACTCCCCAGTTCTCCCGGATATTCGTATTCATATCTTTATCCTACGAATCCTATATATTGAGAAAACCTAAAAGAAAATGCAAAAAAATCGTGTCAGGGTCCAGGTTGCAGGTTAGACACAGTAAACGTCCAGGAACCAAATTAGATCCAGGATTCAAAATAGATCTAGATAGAATACAGGATTCTCTATTTTAACCAATATTAAGTCTAGCAACATTTTATTGTAAATTTTATAATACATATTATATTTAATCATATTTAGGGTAGATGGGTATAAAATAATAGAAATATAAACAAATTTTATAAATAATATATCACAAGGAATGCATGCCTAGCATACCTGCATAAAATAATCACATGAACATGAGCCCGGTTTTCAATGTCTTGGCAGAGAGGTTTTCTTCTGAAAAAGATAAATGAAGATGATTAAACAGCGTATACCAAGAAAGAAAGACGACTTCATAATTTAAGAAGCAAAATTCCAGTGTTATTACTCCCAGTCCTTGAGAACTTCCAATATGTGGCCTACCTTATTTGCGCTTATAATATTGCCGGATAAAAATTGTTCAGATTTCGACAATTTTGAAAATTGAAATCTGAACGAAATTGACGTTTCTTGGGACACCCTGTATATATAATTGTACGGCTATTCCTATGGCCGAAATTAAAGACTTCCGATGTTTAAATGTATATGCCAAACTTTTTAGCGTCATTAATTTGCTTACTAAGGGTTGTCCTCAATGCGTGTCCTCAATATGAGTCCTAAGTTCTAAATAAAGCTAATTTGCAACAGAGAATGTCAATAATTAACATAAGAGACAAGTGGGACATGGAGAAGTAGTAATCTTAGTTTGTTTGAATGTCCGAACTTGTGAACCCCTTGACCCAGTTGTCTAAAATTTTAGTTGGAAAACTTGTCAGAGCTACAGGCAAAGATGGGTTCCCAATCTAGTAACATAAAAATATTGATTTTTCCTACCTTTCCTTCCTTGATGAAAACCTTAATATCCCCGTCATAATCTCCTGAGATGACCGCATATCCTGTTAAAGGTTCCTTGTCGCCTACTGGGTCAACTCCTTCCTTCTCCCTGAGTCGACCTGCAGCCTCACGACCTCGCTCCACAGCCTCAAACACAAGCTCAGGAACAGGGGCGAATAATGTGCACGTTACAGCTGCATTGTGGGCCCTACACAATATTCATATTAGGGATTTGATATTTTTTGGTCAAATTTCAAGACAGATGAGAAATATTCTTTTAAATAACGTAATTTATAAATGGACTTATTTTCGCATTTTCAAAGAAACGTAAGATTAAACGTTCCCAAGGAGGTATTCAACCCCCAATAAAAGTTGAGCACCCCCCCCCCAATAAAATTTAAAAAGTTCGCACAAAATCCTGTATACGCCCCTGATTAGGACTATTGAGCGGATAAAAAGAAATATTTGAACACAAACTTGGGAAACCCCAGATCTCATATAAACAGGCTTACTTTATTGCCTCGTAGTAATTGTTCCTATCCTTCCTAGCAGTTAGAGAGGAGGGAACATGGACACTTGACCACAGATATACACAGTGATTCTCACTACCAGCACTCACATACCTACATACAACAATTCTTTATCAACATATCACGAGCAAACAAGATTTTCAAAAATGTCTGTAAATTATTTTAACAAAAGCCCTAAACTTAAAAATTGACAGAATGAGCTAGATGAACTTAATCCCTACTGGTTGATATCAACCGATTCCAAAAATTCCAAAAAATTGCAAAAAATTGCAAAAATTGTGACCAACGACGAATTGGTTGAACTTAATCGATTTTCTAATTTGCCAATGTTCATATTTTTTATTCAATAATTAATGTTTAGCTCATGCCGTCTGACACTGGGACCAAGATTAATAAATAGGAAGAAGTAGTTCAACAACGTAGACTAAGTTGAACCACTTCTCTTGACCTTAAACCTGCGCAAAAGAGAAGTGGTTTAACTAAATCTGCGTAGTTAAACTACTTGTTACTTTTTATTAAATTTATTCCCTTTTATTTTATCCTACACGGTCGGAATTTTGATTTCGAGCAATTTTTACGCCTTATTCAATTTGACCAGAGTGACCGTCAGGGTGAGTTGTTCCCCAGGTCTAATTTTTCTTCTTCATTAGTTAGATATATATTAGTAGATACCATTTATACCATTTAGAACTTCTGGGAGGTTGGAAAATGTAGCGAATAAATGGTTTGAACAAATTTAATTCAAAAATAATTTCTACTATCAAAATGATTGAAATCCGTAAGAAATGCGCGAAATTTTGGATAAAAATCAGCGAAAATTTTCAAAACAGTACACAAAATGACGAACTGTTTGCATAAAACATGTGCAGTTGGCTCACACAATATGGTAAAAAGTCGACTAAAATTCAAAAGATTACTCCTGCTATTGAAACCAAGATCAAATGCTTCGTCTGGAACCAGTTTAGTGTACAAGTGGCCAACTATCCTAATGTTATTTGCAACAACTGTCACAGAAACCTCTATGATCTTGACAAGAACAAGGTGGAATACCTGGGAAACTGGATAGAGAAAATATCAAAGGTAAATATAAGTTGTTTTTTCAAGTATAAGCACAATTAGATGCTTTATAAGTTGGGGCAAAATTTGAAATAACCATAATAATCAGCATCTATATTTAATATATGAAGAAATGAAATAATAATCTCTGTTTGGTTATGTCCGATCATAACTCAGGAACCCCTCAATTAATTTGCCTCAAATTTTGATTGGGGAACTCTGTAGAACCATAGGAATGTCTTTTTGTGGTTTAATTATTTAAAGTTAAAGTTTAATTTCCAGTCAAAGAAAGGTTCCAAGCTAATTTCATATATAACTATATATTTAACTAACTTGAGAATCCAGCTTGGCCTAGAGTTTTCCAAATAAAAATCAACCCACTCAACTCTAAAAAATTCTAAACCAGGCTAAGAAAATTCCCGTGGTTCAAGCGAGTTTCCCAATTCAAATTTGAGTCAAATCGAACCTGGGGTTTATGAGTTATGATCGGACATACAAACAAACAAACAAACAGATAGACAAACAGAGATTATTCTACTTTATGTACATGCATAGATGACGTTTCTCTTCTGTTTATAAACTAATCTTTCTTCGAGTATTCAAAGTCAAAGTATAAGTATTTACTAACTATAATTGTAAACTAAAAAAAATTTATTTACTGTGTTAAAAAAATATTTGATGTCATTAAAATAGTTGAGATGTTTAGATTGACAGATCTGGTCTTGGAAGATCCTCAAATATAAATCTGAAAGCTGAAGAATTGGCTTCATCTAATGTATCTTTTCCTAAACCTGTAAAGTCTTAAAGATTATATTCAACTTGCTGTTCATTGCTCAGTTTATGGCCTTTGTTTGAGAGCTAGTTGAGCTCAAATTACATAATGTTCAGAGGATATCAAGGTGTAGGATTAGATGGAAATAATGCTATTAACTTTCTAAAACTGAAAGACAAGCTTGAAGATGATTTAAAAAACGATAAAAAGTACAACCTATTGCCAATTGTTCACTGTCTGAAAAAGTTTCAAAAACTTGAAGCAGAAACCTTTGGTATGGCAGTTGGAGATAATGGGGAAAATGCTGTTCAAGAGTTCAAACAATCTTATAAAGAATATGTTCAAAACACATTTGATGGTGTTGAGCTGAGTGTCACCTGGAAAGTTCATATAGCTGTATGTCATATATTACCATTTCTTCAATCAACAGAACATGGCCTAGGAGTTTACTGTGAACAAACAGGAGAAGCTATTCATCATGAGTTAAAAAAAAAACATGGAACAGATACAAACTTAGAGTCAATCATGAAGATTATGCAAAACGGTTAAAATCCAGTGTTGTTGAATTTGCAGCACATAATATTAATTAGATGTAGCAGTTAAAAATGTAAATATTTCATGTTGATTAGTTTCAGAATAGTAACTTATCTTATACATGAGTCGTATTTTTAAGTATAAAAGAACATTTAACGTTTATGATGTGTTACATAGCTTATAAATACGCTATTATCATTAACTCTATAGAGAAATTTCGTGGATTTTTAATTTTCAAAAAATTTTAAAATTTCCAACCTCCCAGAAGTTCTAAATGGTATAAATGATATCTACTAATATATATCTAACTAATAAAAAAGAAAAATTAAACCTGGGGAACAACTCACCCTGACGGTCACTCTGGTCAATATTGATCAATATTTATGTTTTTTGTGTGTGTAAAAACATCATTATCTTTATATATTTGCAAACTGACATCATCGACCTTTTATATTTCAAACTATGAGTTACGCACTATCAAATAGTCAAAGATTGAAACATCTAAGTTTTACAACGTCAGGTTGCAGAGGTGTTAGGATTCGAAAATTAGAGTTAGATGATATTAATCAGCTTCTATAATAATTTATGTAATAGTCTTCGAATTTTTGAGAAGATGATTTCTACCTTCCGTCTGGGCTGAAGCAAGCTCTGATCTGACTAGATAGGTTTGTGTATCCTCTGTATTTGCAGATTAAACTGAGATCCCGGAGATCGTAGAGACGTATTCTACTATCCGTAGAGGTCACTAGGATCTTATCCTCTCCTAAACACATAATAATAATAATAAATGATCAACCATCATTCCGTAGAATTCAAGACATAGCCCCATCAGAAACAACAGTGAGAGACAGAAATTAGTGTAACAATTGATCAATAACACGTAGTTTTATCTTACAATAATTATATTAAATCAAATCGGAACTTTAGAGACAGTAAAATTGTCAAAAAAAAGATTAAAATTCAATTGGCCCGTGTACAGTGCTGTCTGTGTCTGTAATAATTATAACAGTTAACTGTTTCGTAATAGTAGTATTAAATTGATATGTTTGATTAAATATAGAACAAATTGTTTACCTGGCATTGGTTCGATCCCAGTAACCTTCCTCCCTCTAGAATTCTTGCCCCTGGCAGACCTCACATGTATAGTTGTATGATACTTGAGCTGATCCGTACTATAAAATATACACCGCCCGTCATAGGTCCCCACAACAGCAAACTTCCCGTTCTGACAGAAGTTAGCAGCTGTGATCAGCTTGGTCTGACCGTCAACCTCGTTCCAGAGCGCAACTTTCTTATCCGGGATGTTCCACAACCTAATCTTGCCGTCCAGGGACCCGCTGATGAAGAACTTGTCGTTCCTGGGATGAAACCCGATGGCAGTGACAAAATCGATATGTTGGAATACACACAGACATTCTTTCCTGGAGATATGCCAAAGCCTGACTGTCTTGTCCATAGATGAGGTGAGGATGAAGAAGTTGCTGGACCAGGAGATGTCCAGCAGGTCGCTGGTGTGCCCTGTGTAGGTTACGAAGGGTCTGTCCATAAAAATATGGCCCTAAAGTAACGAGATTACCAAATGCAAATTACTGGATAAAAGAAACTTCTAATATTTCTAAAATGTTGATTATTTGAAAAACAAAATAGTATTATTTTGAATATCATGAAAGGTTAACAGGAACCTTTTATTGGCTACTTCCAAGAATAAGTAAGAATTTCATAAAAGTAAAAATAAAACTATCGGTTCACTTACTCAGGAGAAAGCTAAATCTAATTTTAAAACTTTTTTGAGGAAATGACAATTGAAAATTGGCCATTTAACCCTTAAATTAACTTAGTCCTACCTGTGAGTCTTCTGATTCTAGATAACCCTGAGTAATTTGATCCTGGTGAACCTGATCATCTGATATACCCTCGTGTTCCACCTGGTACCTGGATAAACAAGAGATACAATTTATAATTTGATCCTGGTGAACCTGATCATCTGTTCAATCTGGTACCTGGACAAACAAGGGATACAGTCTATAAATATAAACTTTGCTTGCTGGTTTTATCCAATAAACGTCAAAACGACTTAACCGATCGGGTTCAGATTTTGTGTGGGACCTCACATGACAGGATGATCAAAATTTCAAAAACAGGAATAGATAGTACTAAATTTTAACATTAAACACCAAATTAACATTTAAAAACAAATTATCATCCATTTATCCGTCTGGGTTTTATGAAGAAAATACCTTCGTCTCATATCACTGAAGTATCCATGTTTATCCCGTAGAACCCAGATCCGTAGGATACAATCCTGTCCTGGATATTGGATATTAATTAGATCAATAAGCAGTAAGCACTATTCTTATCTTAAACTAATAGTGAGAACTAGTATTGAAATAATTGGACCATTCAAACCCAGTAACGCTTTTGTTTAAAAAACAAAGCTTTTTAACAATTAGTTCCTGAGAGTGAACATTTTAAAATATTTAGCAATTTATTTCAGCTCCAGAACTGCTTAACACATTTTAACAATCCAGCGCATGATTTAGTAAAAGCGTCAATAAAAATAACACACGGCATACAATCTAGAAAAATAAATTAGGTTTCATTGTCGTCTACCTGCAGTTGCGAGTAATCTACCACACAATGAGAACTTCATACACCAGATAGGACCACTGTGATGACCGGACAAGTCCTGCCCGAACTGAATATTTTCAAAGTCCCAAGGACCAGACTTGTGTGCTTGGATACGCTTGAAACCCTGAGCAGCAGCTCCGTCCTTGCAGGATACTTGAACTCCGTCCGTGGTAGATATATCGGTTGCGAGTCTACCCAACTTCTCCTCCTCCTTCTCCTCTCTAGTTCGTTGTCTCTTACTCACTTCAGCAGAGATTCTTTTAGAAGCTTTAGCTGCAGTCTGTATACAAATCATAAATTAATATTAATATAAATAGAAAAGAAAAAAAGCTTTTTTCTCATTCTCCACAAATTACGAAGCATACTTTAGCTACCTCTACGAATTATAAAACATACTTTAGCTACCTCCCCGAATAACAAAACATACTTTAGCTACCTCCCCGAATAACAAAACATACTTCAGATTCTTCCCCGAATAATACAACATACTTTAGCAAACTCTACGAATAACAACTTACATTGACTTCTACCTCTCCGAATATTAAAACATACCTCAGAATCTTTCCCGAATCATAAAACATACTTAAGCTACCTCCCGGCATAATAAAACATACTTTAGCTACCTCCCCGAATTATATAACCTACTTTAGCCACATCTCCGCATTATAAAACATACTTTAGCTACCTCCCGGAATCATAAAACATACTTCAGCTACATCCCCGCATTATAAAACATACTTAAGCTACCTCTCCGAATTATAAAACATACTTTAGCTACCTCCCCGAATTATTAAACATACTTTAGAAGCTACCTCTACGAATTATAAAACATACTTCAGCTACCTCCCCGTATTATTAAACATACTTTAGCTACCTCTACGAATTATAAAATATACTTTAGCTACCTCCCCGAATTATTAAACATACTTCAGCTACCTCTACGAATTATAAAATATACT